AGATTATATTGCATATTTACATGAATGTTTTGATTTTGAAAATTTGAAACAATTTGTTTCCAAATATCATTTAAAAGTTCAAGTTGATGGTTTTAATGCTGTTACTGGAATTTATAACAAAAAAGTATTTTGTGAACTTCTTGGTCTTCCAGAAAGTTCATTGAAAAATGCTGTTCCAATGCCAGATTTTGGAGGAAAACATCCAGATCCTAATTTAACTTATGCTGCTGAGTTAGTTCATGCAGTAATTCCAGAAGACTCACCTTATGATATTGGATTTGCTTTTGATGGAGATGGAGATAGAAATCTTATTGTTGGAAGAGGTGCATTTGTAAGTCCATCGGATTCACTTGCTATTTTATCAACTAAATATAATGATATTCCATTCTTTGTAAAGAATGGATTCAAAGGAGTTGCACGTTCAATGCCAACTTCTGCTGCAGTTGATCATGTTACTTCAATTACTGAAACACCAACAGGATGGAAATTCTTTGGTAATTTAATGGATTCTGGAAAGATTAGTTTGTGTGGAGAAGAGTCATTTGGAACTGGATGTTGTGGTATTAGAGAAAAGGATGGAATTTGGGCTGCATTATGCTGGGTTTCTATTTTAGCAGCTGAGTCTGAACGAGCACAACGATTAGTTGGGGTTAAAGAAATACTTGAAAGTCATTGGGCTAAATATGGAAGAAATTATTATCAACGATATGACTTTGATGAAGTTGATAAGAAAGCTGCAGAAAATATGATGCAAATGATGAGAGATAATGCTAAAACTGTTAAATGTGATTTGAATGGAGTTCCATTAAAATTCTGTGATGATTTTGAATATCATGATTCAGTTGATGGAAGCGTTACATCCAAACAAGGAATTAGATTTGTTTTTGAAGATGGGTCAAGAATTATTTTCAGATTGTCAGGAACAGGTTCAGTTGGAGCTACAATTAGAGTTTATTTCGATAAGTATAGCAAAGACTATAAAGCTGACCAAACTAAAGTCTTAGCTGATATGGTAACAGTAGCATATGCTGTTTCTCAAATTACCAAATTTACAGGAAGAGAAAAGCCATCAGTAGTTACATAATTTGTTCTCTTTGTTATTTTATATTTGATAAATTTTAATAAAAAAACATTAAAAATCAATATTGTTATATAATACAAATTTTAATAAAAAATATGAAAGGAATAAATTAGTTGAAAAAAGAAGAACTATAAAAAAATGGAAATATTTTGTTAAAGAGAAGTTAAGATGGCAAGTTTTTTATTAACAAATAAAGGAGTTCAGTTCAAAGTTGATATTGGAGAAAAAATACTTCATATCCATTCTATGATTCTTAAAACAACACCATCCAGAGAGGCTTTAATTATTCATACAAATCAATCACTTATGTTATTTACACCAGACGATGGTATTTTACATCCAGCAAATCATATAGAATTAAAGATACTTCATATCTTTTCATCGAAAGGAACATTTACTTGTATTACACCAAATGGTCAATACCAATTTTCTGTTGTAAAGAAAGAAACATTATTTTCTATTACTAATACAAAAGGTTGTTTATTTCCATATTTATTAGATACTAAAAAGTTTGCCGCTACTATATATTCTGCTTGTGGACAACAACAAATTTTCTTATTACACGAAAATGGGAATTTAACAACTCTAAAACCTCGACCAATAACTTATGTATTAAATCTTCCACAAGGGGAAATAAAAGCAAATAAAAATGTAGTTGTTATTAGAGGAAATGAAGACACACATTTTATTCGATTTAATGAGAATTTAATAGTTAATCATAAAATTCTTGCTAAATGTTCATCTATTGCTATAGGAAAACTATACATTTTTTGTGGTAGGTCAGAGTGTATTGAAGTATTTTCTGCTTTAAACGAATTTAGTAAAATAGGAGAGATTGATCTCAGACAATTTGGTGTTATGGGAGATTTTACTCCTGTGGATATTAAAATAGCAAGAAATGGAAGTCTTATTGTTAATTATCAAAATCTTGGGATTACGATATTTGATGGATATTGGAATTGTATTGGGAAATTGTTTAATGAAAGAAAATTAGAACATGGAATTATTAGTGTTGGAAGAGGATCGTTGTGGGCATATGAATCTAATATATTTACTCGATGGGAGGTTAAAGAAAGTCTTAATTGTGATGATATGATGGGACTTAAAGTTGTATTTGGGAAAGAAATTGGAATAATAACGTCAAATGGAATTGAATATTATAAATATTCAAATGCATTTGACTCAGCAATTGAAAATGGATTTGAAAGAATTTCATTTTACAAGTATGGAAAGGATATTATTATTTTAGCATTACGTGATAATAATTTATATATTCATCAACTTAGTAAAAATAATGTAAATGACACAATTAATATTATTCAATTAGAAATACCATCAGAAAGAATTGCTATTAGTTGGACATTTTCTCAAGAAAAAATAGTTATTTTTCAACAACTTGTTAATGACCATATTTCATTACATATAAGTGTTGTTTCATATCCAGAATTTGAACATCTTTATGAGAATACAATTACAATTTATGATCGTCATGAACTTACTTCTAAACAGTCACCAGTGTCTTCACCATTAACTTATATGATACAAGATTATATTATTCCAGATAAACTATTTTCACCTACTTTTGATGATTTTCCAAGTGGAAATAGTAAATTATTAATACAATCAAATGAAGATTATTATTTTGTTATTATATCTACAACTTCTCCTCGTTTAATAGTTTTTAAAAAAATTGATGGAGAAGGAATATTTGATATTTCAATGTTATTTTCACTTAAAATTTGTAACGAAGATATTGATATTGTTACAGCAGAACATTTTCCAATTTCATTTTGTTTACATTATAATCAAAATGGTAAAATTCTTACACCACATCATTTAGTAATTCAATGGGACTCAGGGCTATTAACATCAACAATTTATAATATTGATGACTTCTCTCAAATTGAAAGATGTGAAATTATTTCAAATAAAGTTCAAAATTATTTATCATATAACAATATTATCATTTCTTATCCTCCATTAATGTTACATAGCTCTCATTCATTATCAATGAACACTTTACCTTCAACAGCTATTGTTTTATTTCAAACATATAAATTACCAAAATTAATGGATTCTCCATTTACACTTACTGATGAAATACTTTGTATTGATCAAGGTAACATTGTTCCAATTCCTTGTGCATCTCATTTGACGTTACTACACCTATTAGAAGGAAGAAAAGAAGAAATGTCAGCTGATACACTAAGAGAATTATTAATCTTTTCATTGGATATTTTTGATAAAAAAGAAATTACAAAAGCAGAATTTAAAAATTTACATAATATGTTTAAAGAACATTTTATGTATCCAATTTTAATTGTTCGTGTTTCAAGAATTATTGATAATAGCTTATGGCCAAAATTATTTTCAGTTACTCCAAGTCCAATAGAGTTATTTGAAAATGTATTAAAAAGTGGATATCAAAATGAAGCAGCAGCATTTATTAGAGTTATTGATGTAATGATGGGAAGAGAAAAAGCATTATTATCAACACTACAACTTCTTGAAAATGTTAACGTCAATTTAATTAACGATATAGTCCATTCAATTTATCATGGAAGAACATTAGAAAATGCCTCAGACATTGAAAAGAAAATTTCATCTTCAATTCAAAATTATATAACAAGTAAACTTGCATATGAATTAAAAGAAGGAAATATGGATGAGGTGTTTTCTATTATTGGGGATAGCCATCCTTTTATTATAATGTGTTTAGAAGGAGTCCAAAATAAAAATGTAAAACTTCTTCAATTACACCATTCCTGTTATCAACTTGTAAAAAATCATTCTGTTCAAGAATGTTTTAATTTTGGTTCTCTTTTATTAGAGAATCAATTCTATAAACATACAATCCTTATTGGAATGCATTCTCAAATAAAAAAATTATTGGTTTTTCCTCAAAGTGATGAACTTTTTGATGATGTGACAAATCAACTCGAGTTTGTTTTTTTTTTTGAGGCGTTTATACAAATAACAGTAACTTTTTCGAAAAAATTTTGTCATTACACTAACGTTATAGACCCTTTGATGTTGAGTTTTGTGCCTTGATGAAAAAGCTCAAACCTGCAATTTATTAATCTAAACCCCCCTTACTATCACTTGGTATATTGACTGTTTCTTTTCATTCTTTTGTTAGAACGTCATCACAAACCATAACACATTTTGTGACTCTTTCTGGATTGTTCGAATAAAAACATGAATAAACTCTATCGACTAACAATTTTTGAACTATAAAAACGATAAATGTTAAAAGAAGATTAATATATTTAGATTTTAACAAAAAATTATGTTTAAAAATAGTGAAAAAGATGAAAAAAATCAAAGAAGATTGAAATTATTGACAATTGAAATGTGATAAAAGATATTTTTGGGAAGTCAAAAAAAAAGATACTTAACTAATAAATAATAGTTGTTAATAAAATGAACGGAATAACTATTCGCTGTATTCACGACGAAGTTGCATCTCCAATAGCAATTGGAATTGAAACAGCACCTCCTACTTGTGATAATTCTTTAATGTTTGCTCTTTAGAAAAATCTTTTTTTTGGAATTCAAAATAAAGTGAAAAGAGTAATAATCTACTTTTTCATTCTAAACAGAAAGTTATTAAATTAACTTAAAATGAAAGGACTTAAAGTCAATAGGGATTGTTCACAAGCAAGTACTTCAACACTTCTTGCTGATTTTGAAGTAAGAGAGATATTTAAAAACAAAAATTTTACAACAGAACTTGATGAAGAAAAAGACCAAGATCCTATGTATATAGGGAGACCAGAAAATCCAGTGATTAATGATGAAACTTTCTTTAACAGTCACTTTTGAGTTTTTTTCAAACAGTAACTATAGAAATTCTGAACTTATTTTTAATTTTTTACTTCTTTTTTCTTTCATCTTTTTAAGTTTCTTTGTTTATATTATGGATAATGAAAGTTTGAAACAACAAAAAAACTTTTTAAAATCAGCTCAAACAAAAGTGACTGCTATTGATGGAAAAATTCATTTCGAAAAAAGTGGTGAAATAGTTGGAAGTAGTCAACAACAAACATTTGGTTTTGTAGTTGATAACTCTCCTGATACTGTTGCAAATGAGATCATTTCAAATTTATATCTTGGGAGTCAAGACTGTGTAACAAATAAAGTATATTTACATTCTCTTGGAATTAAACATATTTTGTGTGTTGCTCCATTAATCCCTTCTCTATTTCCCAATGAGTTTGATTATAAAAATATTGAACTGTTAGACTTACCTTCATTTAATATCAAACTATTAATGAATGAATGTATTGACTATATTGACCTATGTTTGAACCAAGGAGAAGCAGTTATTTGCCATTGTAATGCTGGTGTTTCAAGAAGTGCAACAGTAGTTATTGCATATTTGATTTTGAAAAAGAAAATGAGTTTTACTAAAGCATATAATTTAGTAAAACAAAAACGACCATCAATAAGACCAAATGACGGGTTTCTTATTTATTTAAAAATGCTTGATCAACAAAACCTAATACAAAAAGAATAATTGAATATATTTACTGATATATATAGTTAAAGAATAAACTAAGTCAAAAGAAACATTCTCTTGATGACGGTGTTCTTTTAGGAGTTGGACATATACATTCAATAGTCGTTAATGGAATATCATTATTATTTAATATTTTTCTTATATCATCACTAACACTTCCTTGTGAAGCAACTTTTTCATTTAACTCAACTTTTAATGTTGCAACACCAATTTTATTGTTTAATTGCCATATATGAAGGTCATGAACCCCAACAACATCTGGATGTTCTAAAATAGTTTCTCTAATCTTTTCTAAGTCAAATCGTTTAGGAACAACTTGCATAACAATTCGAATACATGAATATAATAAAGGCATACCAGAAACCATCATTACTAATGAAACTATAAGACTTGAAATAGGATCAAGATAATATTTCCAATGTCCATTTATTAAATAAACACATAAAGCAACGAAAATTGTTGCTACACTCCCTAGGGCGTCTCCAAAAACATGAATAAAAACACCTTTAATATTGATATTTTTCTTTTTAGTTGAAACATTTTTATTTTCTTCAATGTCTTGTGGTTCTATACTAATTTCTTTTTCATTTGGTAGTGTTGGTGTTACTAACATTCTTTTAGTCCCATGAGTTCGTATTGCACTAAATGGGTCTTCTACTTGAGTTATTTCTTGTTGAGGTTCATCTTGAATTTTTATTTGTTTCAACTCAACTTCACTTTTTTCTGACTTCTCTTCTTCTTTTTTGTTTGATGAATTTATTTTTTTATTTACCTTCTTAATACAGCTATATTCATGGAGAATAATCATTCCAATGATATTCACAACTAATCCACCTCCAGACACAGCAAGAAGAAATAATGGGTCTTTTACTTCTTCTAATTCAAAGAAACTTTCAATAGACTGAATTGACATAAACAACCCAATTGATATTTGAAAGACACTGTTAATAAATGCCCCAGTAACCTCTGCTCGAGTAAAGCCGTAAGTAAATTTACTACTAAAATTTTGTTTCATAATAATAGTAGCAGTTAATCCAATTATTTGAGAAAGAATATCACTTAACATATTAAAAGAATCAACAGTTAGAATGAGAGAATTTAAATATAATCCTATTATTAATTCAAAAAGGAAATAACAAAAATTCATCACCATGACAAAACTTAAACGATATATATTAATATCTTTATACCACTTTTCTTTCTTTAATAAAATATCTTGTTCTCGTGTAATATGACTCATATGGTCTATTACTTTACTTGCATTTTGAATAACTTCAAATGGTTTAATTGAAGGAGTAACAGCTTCTTTTAATTGATCATTTGTGATGTTTTCACTTTTCCTTTTAATAGACATAACCACAAAGGAATAACCAAGATCTTTCTTATTTTTTTCTTTTTTCTTTCATAACACCTTTCTTTTTACAAGTCTTAAAGAAAGGAAAAGGAATATTTAATAAGAAATAGTTTGTTGAATTATAAATGAAATAATATATAAAACTCCTTTACAATATTTATTCTGGTTTTTAAATTTTAATGAAGAGAGTTTATCTATTATTTGTAGTATTAAATTGTAAATTTTTTCAAATATATAATACAAAAGAGAAGAAAAGCTATTCTTGTCATATTTAAATAAGACAAAGACTTCAATTAATAAATACGATGATTTATTTCTTATTTTAATTTATTTATTGTTTCTTTTGAAAATTCTTAGATAAAAAAAAGAATAATCAATTCAAATTATAAAGGCCCTTCTTCTAATTGTTCGACTAATTTAGTATTAGTATCAATCATAGCTTTAATTTTAATTAACGAGGGGTCTTCTTGTTCTCCAAGTTTTTTGTTTATTGTTTCATTGACCATTTTGCATTGTTTTTCAACTTCTTCAATTTTAGTAGAAATTACTTTATATAAGTCATTTCCTTCTTTACGTTGAACACCACTGTCTAATTCTTTTAGTGACTGTTCAGCCATTTTTAACATCGATTCAAACTCTTGTTGTTTTTCAATCACATCATCGAGATAATTATTTACAATATTAATAGTTCTTGAAGTTTGTGCAATAACATTTTTAACAGCTAATTCAGTTGTATAATTTTCTTTAATTTCTTTGTTTATAGTTTCACATGTTTCTTTTATTTCTTGAATTTGATTTTTCATCGTTTGTTCATAATCAGACATAAATGATTGTAACCCTCCTTCGCTTTGACACTTCTTTAATAACAAATCAATATCATCTTCTTCTATATTAAAATTAAATTCATTATGCTCCTTACTACTAACGTTTGTATTGCTAATAAGGTCTGAAGGAATAGTAATACATGACCCACTATCATCACTATTATCTTCTTCATAAGACTCTTCATCATCCTCATCATAGTCTTCTTCTTCTTCTGCATCAGTTTCCTCTTCTGTTTTTGTTAAACCAGGATTTATTGTATCATGTTTATTGTTAGATTGTGTAAATGTACTAGATAATGATTGTTTAGAAGTAGAAGTGAAATTGAGAGATGATGGAAATTCATTTGGACTAAGGTTTAATGAAAGTGTTAGTCCCATTGGTTTATTATCTTTACTATTTGTTGAAGAACTACTTGGTTGTAATGACCCTGAAGATAAATTTGTCAATGGAGTAGTGTCTTGTTTTTGAAGCAAAGTTGATGGAGTAGAAGAACCAAACAAACCAGTTAAATTGAAATTAAATCCGTTTGATGTTTGTTTTAAATCATTTGGTTTTTTATTGTCTGTTTGTAAAGGTGTTGACTGAGTAGTTCCAAAAGGATTTGAAGTTAATTTAATTTCGTTTTGTGTTTGTTGTTCTGTTTTAGAAGGTTGAGTATTAAGAGTAAACGGATTTTGTTGTTCTGTTTTAGAAGGTTGAGTATTAAGAGTAAACGGATTTTGTTGTTCTGTTTTAGAAGGTTGAGTGTTAAAAGTAAATGGATTTTGTTTAGTATTTTCAGTAGCATTTAGAGTAAGTTTAATTTCTTCTTGTTTTTTTTCTTCTTGTTTTGCAGTTGTTGATTGATTAGATAAATTAAATGGAGTTGACGAATTAAAATGAAAAGTGTTTTGTATTTGGGTAGGTTCGTTAGGCTTTATTGAAGAGGTTTGAGTTGTTTGGTTAGAGAATGGGTTAGTGAAATTGAGCCCTTTGAAAACATCTGCCATTGTGTTAGGTTGTGACATAACTGTAACTAAGTTCTTTTTCATGGAATTTCAATAACTGATTTATTAAATTATTATTTATTATAATATATACTATTTTATGAATTGTCTTTTTATTACTCTATTTTACATTTTTATTCTATAAAATTAATTTATTCATTTTTGCTCTATTAACTGTTTTTATTTTTCAATACTTTTATTCTTAAAATCTTTTTTATAAATGATATTTTTTTACTAGTTTGATTAATTATTATATTAATTTAATCATTACTTGTTTATTCTCAAGATCTTTTTATTATCACAATATTTTGTTAATAAAATAAAATGTCATAAACAAAAGAATTTATGCAACCTTATTTTGTACATTATTTAAAATTGAAAGGACTTACAAAATGATTAAATCCTTTTCCTAAAATTTAATACTTAAATAATTAATTTAATGAAAAGAATTAATACAATTCATAATGTATTATGCTATTAAATAAAGAGAATAGAATTTTACAAAGCTGTATCATCCTAGCTAATATAAGGAATAACTTATAGAGTGAGTCATATAACATTAGAAATGTATTAACTCTGTTATTATCAAAACTTAATTTTATTTATTATTCTAAGATAATTACATAATAATCAAATAAACAATAAATATAATTTATAATATCAAATGTGTATTTTAACTTTAACATTACAAATAGCCATAAGAGTATTTCTTATATACTTCATAGTAAATACCATAAACTATGAAAGAAATTAAATGTAAAATATTTTTTAACAAAAGGACTAGTCATACAAATTATTCAATTAAAACTATTTTAAGTGAGTAAAAGTCTAAATGTTCATTAAATTCTTTTACTCTTTTCTTTAATTCATTATAAATTAAAGGAGAAAGTAATATAATTTGCATTGTTATTAGAATTACTTTAAAGTACCTATAAATCTCTGGTGCCATACAAAGATGTTTCAAACACTCTTTTACAATATTAGTTGCACAACTTTCATTACATATTAATCTTCTTAATTTTATCATTTCTTCATCAGTAACTTCTCGTTTACCTAATGCACTTTTTATTAGTTTTAATGCACAGCCACTAACTTTTTGCGTTGGATAATTCTTAATTATTTCTTGTATGAGATTTTCTGGAGCATTTGCACTTTTAAAACTTAATAACACATCACCATCAAATTGATAAATTTTTTGTTGAATTCCTTTGAGTATAAAAGAACATGCAACTTCACCTTGTACATAATTATATTTCTGGTTTTTAATAATATGAACTGAAAGTCTTACACAAGTACTCAACTTAATTTGATTTAATTTATACAATTCTTCAATAACCTCGATCCCATGACTATTTCCATTCTCTACTTCTTTTATTATTAACTCATTAAAAATAGGTTCTTCGACTTGTTTAATTGCTGAGACAATCATAGACTTCCCCCACATTAAATAATCTTTCAAATAATATGTTGACATTTTTTGTAATACCTCTCTAGCCATTTCTTTGTCCATTATTTGAGAAATCCCTTCAAGAATTCCAAGACATTGTTCAGGACTTCTTTTAAGAATAATTGTACGTAAGAATGATAATGTATTTCCAATGTATTTACAACTTTCAATAATTCCTTTAATAAAATCTATAACAAAAGGTTCTGATGCTTGTTTTGATAAAATATAGCTATAATTTATTTTTTCTACTCTTTTTAATAAGAAGTCATCAATCATAATTGTTTCATTTTCTTCTAGTGTATTTATTTGGTGATAAAATAACATATAAGCATTTGACACTTCTCCTCCAAACCAATTTCTGTTACCTATGTTTTCAATTAATTTATCATTAAAAGATATCCATTGGTCATTAAGTAGTATATTACTAAAATAATGACCACCATGTGCACTTCCAGTATGAACAACTATTCCAACTAATTTATATTTAGTTATTCCTTTATACTCTGTACAACAATATTGTTTTAGATCAATTTCATTTGGATATTCAAATCTTCCATTATATTTGACAATTTGAAATTGTTCATTATATCCAAATCGTTTCAAATGAAATACTAATGTTTCTGGTAATTTTTTATATCTTTCACTTCTTTGAGAATCACTTTTTAATCCACATTGTTCACAACGATAATCACATAAAATACAACCTTCACATAGTGCTTTTAATGATTGTCCCATTGTTTGATAATGTTCTACTTCTAGTGCACATGAACAGAACTCTTCATTTCGTTTTACTATATGACCACATTGACTTTTTATTGATATCTCTGTTTCTCCAGTAAATACTTTTCTTGCTTCAATGATATTTTTCTCTTTTTTACACACTTCTAATGTTGATATTATTGTATTAAAAAATTCTTGAGCATCCATTTGTTCATAGACATTAACTTCTTCATAGCAACTTCCATGTGCTTCTTTACAAAACTCTTTTGTGTCGACGGTTTGTAATTTACTTTCTTTCATTTCAACAAATAATTTTTGTAATCCTTCTATCATTCTATAGTCTTTAAGTTCATTATTGCTATGAGTGATAAATTCATTTTGTTCGTTGTTTTGAATACTCTCTTTTTGTGAATTAATTTTTTGTTCAATTTCTTCATGTGTTTTACTTATTATATTATCACCTTGTTCTATCCCTTGAATTATTTCTTTTGTGACAGTTTCATTGTTAGTAATATTATACTTAGCTTCATTTTCTTTTTTTAATAGTTGGACCTTGTCAACACTATTCTTTGTTTTACAATTATCAACTTTTTCAATATTTATACCATTTATATCAATTTGACCTTTACTTTCTTCATTATTTTCGATATATTTAGGTAAAATAACTCTTTTTTCAAGAAGTTTATTACAAAAGACTTGAGTATGTAATAATTGTTGAAGAATACTATTCATATAACAAGTACATCCTTGATTAGTTAATCCACACCACAATCCTTTTCTTGTTTCTATCTGATTTCCATTACTTTCTAACATACTTAATATCATATCAAAATGATGACAAATTTCCTTCTTTTGTTCTTCATTACAGCTCTTACAAGACTCACATATCATTTCAATATAATCATGGAGTATATCTTCTTTAATTTCATTTAACTTTCCTTTTGGAAATAATGAATCAATTAATGTAATAAGATAAGGTTGAAGAAGTTTTTGTTTGTCTTTCATTAATTTCATTGCTCGAATACTAAATTTAAAACCTTTTCCTCTATTCAAAACATTTTCAACCATTTTCTGAATAAACAAATCATCAGTATTATATTTTTTATCAATATATTGAATAATTATTTCATAACATTCTTCAACCAATTCACTTGGTTCTTCTAAATAAGGGATTAACGTTTCAAATAATTCTTCGTTCATCAATTCTTTAACCACTCTTTTTATTGGTTCTATAACTACTTCTTTATTCCATTCAATTATTTGATTATTTCTTAATAATATGATGTCACATATTGTAGTAATAATTCTTTCATTTCCTTCTGTAATATTTCTTTTTTGAATCTTTTTGATTTGTTCTTCATTTATATGCCATAATTCTTTTTTGACTAGTTGTTCAAAATGTAAGAGAACTTCAGCAAGATATTTCTCATTATCTTTTCTTATTTCAATAGAATGACAGAACATTGAAATAAGTTCTTTAAAGTCATCTTCTTTTATTTCATTCTGTGCCATTAATCGTTCGAATCCAATAAATTCATAACCAGTTTGTTCTTTACAGTTTTCAATTACTGATAGTCTCCATTTAATAAATGGATTAATTTCTTTTAGAAGTATAATTCCAATGCTATACATTTCTTTTTTTTGAATAAGTTCAATAACATTTTTTATTTCATTTTCTTCAATTATAAAAGGTAGTTGTTTTATTGTTTTTGATTCACATCGAATTAACTTACCAATACTTTTTTCATTTGTTAATTTTTGACCATTTAATTTTCTAACTCCTTCCTGAATATACAAAAAAATACTCCCATCTTTCTTAACTAAGTCTCCAATAATATCATTTATACTTACGTCTTTGCCATTGATTTGAGTGGTAATCAAATATTTATTGTTTTTAATAACTCTTTTTATCCATTCAGCTGAAGTACCTTTTTGTTTATACACACTTGTTAATATATCAGTGATTATAACTTCAATTGGTGTTTCAGATAAATACTCTTTTTCTTCAATTTCAATTTCTGGTTCAAGTTTTTGTTTAGTTTCTATGATTTTATTATTAATTTCTTCTGAAAAAGATTTTAATTGTTTGATGTCATCAATGGATTGATACAAATATGATATGTTTTTGACTTTAATTTTTCCAACTGGAATATTGAATTTTAATTTAATAAATCGTTTTAATTTAATTCTTCCCTTGTTATTTTCTTCCAGTGATTGTTTTAAATCTTTTAATGATTTTTCAATTATTTCAGCGGCAATGAGTTGTGGATTTTTCATAAAGGCATGTAAAGCATCAATGATACATTCCTTTAGTTTTCCTTGATATATTTTCATTAAAAGATTTTCGATGGTTTGATTTTTCTTTTTTAAAAACACATCCCAGAGTATTTCTTTTCCAACTAAATTGTTATAATTATCGAATATAATATTACCATTAGATTCTGTGTGGATACTTTTTGTTATTAAAATGTTGTACTGAATAAAGGTATTTATTACAATTGAAAATGATGTTTCAGATAATTCGTTGTATGTCAAAAGAACTTTCATTAAATCTTCAATATGACTAATAATCATTTCCTCTGTTAGCCATTTTGTTGTTTCGTTAAATCCCTCAAGTCTTATCATTCCTAGTAAACAAGAAGGAAATAAATTTTCACTTTTCTGTGCTAAGTTAATCAATACATCTTTTAAATTTTCGGTTTCATTAAAAATAGACATATCGAGTAACTGTTTAATATCATCTACATCACTTTCAAATGGAGCAGTTTCTGCAATGACCTTAAGTGCACTTAAAACTCCAGTGTCTTGAAAATTTGTTATATATTCTGTTAATAGACTTTTCCTTAATAATACTCTTAATTCAGGAAATTGTATTATAGGAAAAACATCACTTTCTAAGTGTTGGATGTTCTTACATATTGGTTTTATTAATTTTTGAAAAACTTCAATAGGAATTTCATGGATGGCTAATAGTTTACAAATAAAATGAAGAGATTCAATTTGACCAATTTCCGACCCATTAATGGCTAATAATTTAAAATATTTTTTTTCTTCCGAAGGTAATTTATTAAATAATCTCAGGATTAAATCTTGTGCTCTCATAACAATTGTCCCAGATAACCTTTCTGCATTTTGATATAATTTTTTGAAAAAGTTATTTGGTAATAACTTATTTTGATATAGTCTAATTATAATAGGAATTGAGTGACGTAGTAATTCTTCATGAGAACAAGTAACTACTAAATTAATAATAATTTTTGATGTATGTTCTAGAAAATTTATTAACTCTTTTTTTGTTGCGACACGATGTGAATAATTAGATTTAGGTGCCTTCTTTTCATATTTTGTAAATGAATAAAGCAATGACTTTTCTGCTTCATCATCTTCATATTCAAGAAATTCAATTTCTATATTCCTTAATGCTTGAATTTGTAAGTCAATTCTATTACTACTGAGATCACCAATAAACAACTTTGCTCTATCATAAAAATTTACTGGAGGATGTTGTTGCGTTGACATTCAAATTGGTTTTATCTAAAAAAATTTAATTTCAAGTTTTTCCCAAACATTATCAAATTCCATCAACTAAAGAAATTGTTTATAACAAAAAGAACATACATTTTTCAAGTAAAATGAACAAAAAAAGATGTATGTTATTTAATAATATTTCTCCTATATTTTATAAAGTATTAGAATGAATTTTTTGTTAGTGTTTTATAGTATCTTATTATCTTTTGAATTAATAAATATCAATTTTATATGAAACACTATTAATATAGTCATAAGTACCAATACCGTATCATTAAAATAATAATTACTATTTTATTATTATGAAACTATATCATAATTTAGTTAATTATTCAAAAAATAAAGATATTATCTACATTTTGCTATTTTTAAAGTATTATTACTCAAAAACATTGAGTATTGATTCTCCATAAATATCTAATTAAATAATTATCTTGTAGAAATAAAAAAAATGATATTATGAGTTATTTGATTTAATAAATTTATTATTAACAAGATTCAATATATCAAATATCCTTATAAAAATGAAAAAAATGAATAAAACTCTCCATTATTAATTATTCTTTTATTTGACAATGAATTTTAGAAACAAGAATTTTTATGTTTTTTTCTAGAGAAATATAAACAAATTTTTAAGTGAAATAATATTACAATAACAATAAATTGAAAAAATTAAAATGATTAACAAAGAAAAGAGATTTTATAGAAAAATATTTTTTAAGAAATGTATAACTAAAATGAAAGACAAAGCCATTCATAAAATAAAAAGGATAACATTTTTCAAATTAAAAGATGAAAAACCAAGAAAATAATAAGTTTTATTTTCATTTAACAAAAAACCAAAAAATAATTATTATTTTGTTCATAATTAACAATATGAATTTTGAACTTCTCCACTGTACTTAAAAAATGCACTTTTTCTAATATAAAGGGTAATTTCTATTTTAGTTTGAGAATTAATCAAATAACAATGAGATGTTAATAATGTGGGATTTGTTATTAAATATTAGAAGAGCCATAAGATGATAAACTGACATTCCATAAAAGGTAAGAGAAGAAATAAGTATAGTTACTTGTAAAATGATTGAAGTAATAAATTTAATTGATTAATTAGTGAAATTAAAACTTATTGTGTTTGAGAAGAATAATCTTTGGTAGTACATTAACATCAAGAATTAGAGCAATAGAACATTTAATGTTAGTGCAAAAGTAGATGAAATGAATGGATATGAAAGAAGGATAAATAACAATTAATGAGAATATAACTTAAAATAAAAAAGTACTGTTGGGTGTTAACTAAACAAATTTGTTGACGGTTAATTAAAAAGAAAAAATGAAGATAAGTAGTCTTTAGAGTAAGGAACTAAATCTCAGTCAGAGTTAAAAACAAGAAATGCAGTTAAAAAGTAAATTATAAAAAATGAAAAAAGAAAGGACAGAATTAATTATTGCATACCAAATGAAAGAAGAAATGAATAAAAGAGAAAAGGAAGAAGAACCAAATAACATAAATCGCATATATAAAAAAAGAGTAAAAATAGTCTCATATAAAAGAAAAAAATCTAAAAGCAGCCAATCAAATAAGAAGGAATAAGGAGTTCGACTTTAAAGATGAAAGGAGTAAGAGTTGAAAAAAGGAAAAAGGAGGAAAAAGAAGGAGTAATAAAAGGAAAAGAAGAAAATCTAGAAATTATAAACAATGGCTAATAAATTTGGAGAAGGGTCTCAAGCAGATTATGAAAAGTTTATGGTCTATAAAAAATCAGACACTTATAAAGGTGTCCCAGCAGGAGAAACTTGGGTTTGGTATACTAATCCAAATCCAAGACCAAAAACAGAAATTGGAGAGAATGGAATGGAAAAAGAACAAGATTATGATGAGTTCTATACTGCAAAAGTAGTAACTGAAACAAAAGATCAATACATTTTAGATACAGAAAGAGGAGAATTAAAAGTAGATAAGAAAAATTGTTTCATGAGAAATCCAATGAAATTCGATGGTGTTGATGATATGTCTCAATTAACTCATTTATCTGAAGCTACTGTCTTATATAATTTAAGAATTAGATATATGGAAGATATTATTCATACATATTCAGGACTTTTCTGTGTTGTAATTAATCCATACAAATTTTTCCCAATTTATACACCATTTATTGTTAGTAAATATCAAGGAAGAAGAAGAGAAGATGTTGCACCACATGTATATGCAATTGCTGATGGAGCTTATAGAGCTATGCTTGATCCAGCATCAAAATTTAGAAATCAATCAATTCTTATTACAGGAGAATCAGGAGCAGGTAAAACAGAAAATACCAAGAGAGTTATTCAATTCCTTGCAATGACTGCAGGACAATCAAAGAAAGCAGGTCAACTTGGAGAATTAGAAGAACAATTGATTGATTTGAATCCAATGCTTGAAGCTTTTGGTAATGCTAAAACTGTTAAGAATAATAATTCATCAAGATTTGGTAAATTCATTGAAATTCAATTCTCTAATGGAGGAAAGATTGTAGGATGTATTATGTCATCATATCTTCTTGAAAAGTCAAGAGTTGTTTATCAAGCAAGAGAAGATAGAAATTATCATATTTTCTATCAATTATTGGCTGGTGCTACTGCTCAACAAAAATCAGAAATGCATCTTGATAGACCAGAATCATATAAATTAATTTATCAAAATAAAAAATCACCACAAGAATTAAATGTTGAGTATATGGATGATGCAGAAGAATTTAAGAACACTATTAAGGCTATGAGAACAATGAATATTACTGATGATGAACAAAATCAAATCTTTAAGATTGTTGCTGGTATGTTACATCTTGGAAATGTTGAATATAGTCAAGGAAGAGATGGAGCTGAATTAGCTAATCCAGAAACATTTGCTAAAGCAGCTGAATTATTTGGAGTTGATGCTGAGTCACTTAGAAAAGCTATTATTCAACCAAAGATTAAAGCAGGTCTTGAAATTATTGAAAGACATTTGTCAAAAGAAGAAGCTGAATTTAACACTACTGCTACTTTGAAAGCTATTTATCATAGATTGTTTGTCTTTATTGTTAATAAAGTTAATGAAGTTATGGGTAAAGCCGGAGCACATTCTATTGGTATTCTTGATATTGCCGGTTTTGAAATTTTCAGAGAGAATTCATTTGAACAATTATGTATTAACTTGACTAATGAAAAATTACAACAATTCTTCAACAACCATATGTTCAATTTAGAACAATTAGAATATCAAAACGAAGGTATCCCATGGACACATCAAAATTTCGGAGATGATCTTCAACCAGTTATTGATTTAATTGAAAGTAAGATTCCAGCAGGTATTCTTGCTATGCTTGATGAACAGTCATTTGTTGCATCAGGAAGTGATGAAAACTTCCATGCTAATATTTGTAATACATTTGGAAGAGGACATCCAAGATTTAGAAAACCAAGAATTGGAGGAGATGGAGTTTATGAATTTGATATTCTTCACTATGCTGGAACTGTTACCTACAATGCTAGGGATTGGGTTAAGAAGAACAGAGATCCATTAGAAAGAGATATTCAACAAGTCTTTATTGGTAAAGATTCAAGTTCATTGATTAGTAGATTATTCAGAATTACTGAAGGTATTGCTGGTTCATCTGGTGATGATATGGGAACTGGTAAAGGAAGCAGTAAAGCAGCTAAGTTCTTAACTGTAGGATCAAATCACAAAGCACAATTAGAAGAATTAATGAGAAAATTAAAGATGACTAACCCACACTTCATTAGATGTATTCTTCCAAATACTCAAAAGAAACAAAGATATTTCGTTGATTCAACAGTATTGAAACAATTAAGATGTAATGGTGTCCTTGAAGGAATTAGAATTACTCGTATGGGATATCCAAATAGAATGATTTATAGTGAATTCTTAAAGAGATACTATTTCCTTGGAGATAAAATTAATAGAAGAGCTTCAGATGAAAAGGCTACTGCATCTACTCTCATGAGACAAATTATTGAGAAATATAAGAAAGATGGACAACCAAGAGCTAAAGAAGGAGATTATCAATTTGGTAAAACAAAGATTTTCTTCAGAGTTGGTATTCTTGCTGAAATTGAAGAAGTTAGAGAAGCTAAGATTTCAGAAATGCTTGGAGGTCTTCAAGCATGTGCTAGAGCTTTTGCTGCTCGTAAACATTTCAGTGTATTAAGAGAACAACAAGTTGCTGTTATTGTTATTCAAAGAACACTTAAGAGTTGGGTTACTTTCAGAAATTGGGCATGGTGGAAATTATATGTTAAGGCTAGACCAATGTTAAAGAGAAGAAACTTTGAAGAAGAAGGAAAGAAGAAAGATAAAGAAATTGAAGATCTTAAGAAGAAACTTGCTGAAGAAATTAAGAAGAGAGAAGCTGCTGAAAATGCACTTGCTAGTGCTACAGCAAAGATTGGTGAATTAGAAGCTAAGATTCAAGATCTTGAAGATAAGATTTCAGAATTAGAAAGCAAATTATCAGCTGCTGAATTAGATAAACAAGAATTGAATTTGAAGATTGAAAATCTTGAAGAAGATAAAGAAGAATTGAAAGAAACTATTGATAAACTTAAAGGAGATTTGAAAGATTCCAAATTGAAAGGAGAAGATTTAGAGGATGAAATCACTGAATTGAATTCTCAAATCAATACTTTGAATGCTACTGTAGACAAGAAAGACAAGACAATTGCTGAAATGCAAGAAAGTATTGAAGAAAAAGAAGATGAAATTACTAAATTAAAGGGAGACATTAAATTACTTGAAGAAGAAAAGGATGATCTTGAACAAGACAGAGCTGATGTTAGTGCTACTAAGGATGACATTGCTAAGAAATTGAATAAGATTACAATTGAATGTGAAGATGCTAAGGATGAAATTGCCAAATTAGAACAAGAATTAGAAGATGAAGAAAATAAGAATAAAGATCTTACCAATGAATTACAACAAACACAATTAAAACTTGGTGAAACAGAAAAGAGTCTTGCTGCTCAAGTTGCTGCTACTAAGAAAGCATCTGATGAAAGAGATACTTTAAGTCAAAATCTTGAGAATGAAAAATTAACTACTAAGAATCTTACTAAAACAAAAGCAGATTTAGAAAAGAAGATTAGTGGATTAAAACAAGATTATGAAGATTTAGAAGATGATAAGAATAAGATTGAAGGTGATTTGAGAAATGCTCAAAGAAAGATTAAAGAACTTGATGATGAAATTACTAAAGGAGCAGATGTTTCACAATATCTTCAAAAACAAAAAGAAGAATATGAGTCTCAAATTGCTAAAATGCAAGAAGAAAAAGAGTCAATTGGAAATGATGTTAAAAATAAAGAAAAAACAATTAAAGAAAAGGAATTAGAAATTCAAAGCTTACAAGAAAAACTTGATGAAACAGAAGTTGAAAAAGAAGATGCTGAAAAGAAGAAGAAAGAAATTGAAAAGGAAATGAAAGCACTTCAAGAAGAAAAAGAAAATGTCGAAAGTAGTAAGAATTCAACAGAAAAGGATAAGAAGAAACTTGAAGATAATTTGAAAGATACTCAAAAGAAACTTGAAGATATGACTGCTGATAATGAAAAACTTAAAGCTAAAGCAAAGGATCTTGAAGCACAATTGAATGAAGTTCAAGATAATCATGAAAAGGCTGTTGCTGATGCTGAAGTTTTGAATAAGAAGAAGGCACAAAGTGATAAAGAATTGAATTCATTGAAAGCTGAACTTGAAGCACTTACTAAAGCCAAATCTGTTGTTGAAGCTAAGAATAAAGATAGTGAAAATGAAAAAGCAGCACTTAGTGAAGAAATTGATCAAGCTAATGAAAAATTAAAGAACATTCAAGCTGATTTAAGAAAAGCAACTGCTGATTTACAAGAAGCTAATGAAAAGAAGGCTGAAGTTGAAGCACAAAGAGATAAACTTGTTGCAGATAATAAGAAGATGACAAAGACCTTAGAAGAGATTAAAGCTCGTGATGAAGAAAATACATACAAAGTTGAAAATTATGAAAAGGTAATTAAACGAAAAGAAGCTGATTTAGAAGAAGCCAATGAAAACCTTGATATTGAAAAGAAAGATAGAATGAATAAAGAAAAACAAGTTAAAAAATTAGAAGGAGAATTGAAAGAAACTAAAGATAAATTGAATGCTGCAATTGCTGAAAAGGATTCAATCTTCACTGCTAAGAAACAATCAGATGCTGATCTTGAAGAATTAAATAAGACTGTTGAAGAACATGATGAAGTTGTTGCTAAATTAAATACACAAATTACTAAATTAACAAGAGATAATCAAAGTGCAGAAGAAGAACTTAATGAATTAAGAAGTAAAGCAGATAAAGATAAGAAGAAAATCTCAGAACTTGAAGAACAAGTTAATGAACTTGAATCAAGACCAGTTGGAACAGGAAATGCTGATGAAAATGAAATTAAGATTAGAGATGCACAAATTGCAGATTTGAACAAGGCTCTTGAAATGAAAGGTGATCAAAACAATCAACTTCAAGCCACAAATAAAGAATTGAAAGCTAAAAATAATGATTTAACAAGTAAGATTGAAATTGCTGAGAATGAAATGAAGAAATTAGAAAATGCTAAAAAGAGACTTGAACAAGATAAGGATGAAGCTGATAAAGCAGTTAGTGAACAAACAATTAAGAGAAAAGGACTTGAAGAAGAAGTTAAGAAATTAACAACTGAAATTCAAGCACTTAAATTCCAAATTAATGCCCCAAGTAGTGTTGCTCAAGAAGAAGAAAAACAAAGACTTGAAAGTGATATTGCTGAATTAAAGGAACAATTAGAACAAGAAAGAACTACTGCAGCTAATGCTGAAGCTGAAAGAAAGAAGATTCAAGCAGAACTTGATGAAGTTAAATTCAACTTAGAAGATGTTACTAACCAAAGAGAGAAATTAGTTGCTAAGAACAGTGAAAATGATGCTGAAATTGATTCTCTTAAAGAAGAAAAGAAAGCTCTTGAAGATGAAATTGAGAAGATTACTGACGATAACAATAAGTTGAATGAAGAAATTGATTCACTTGATCGTAAATATAATGCTCTTCTTGATAGTAAAGATAGTGATGTTTCCATGAAGGAGAAGTTCCAAGATGAATTGAAAGTTACTAAGGATGCTCTTGAAACCGAAAAGAAGAATCATGCTGAAACTATGAGACTTAAAGGAAGATTAGAGAAAGAAGCTGCTGAAGTTCAAGTTAGACTTGAAGCCCTTCAAAAGAATCTTGACCTCGCACAACAAGAAAAAGCTAAAGCTACTAAAGATTATAGAGCTGCTGATGGAGAATTGAAATCATTGATGAATGAATTAGATGATGTTAAGGATCAATTAGATAAAGCACAAGATGATCTTGCTGATAAGGAAGATGAATTAGCTACCCTTGATCAAAAGTACAAGACTCTTGTTAAACAAAAGAGTGTCTTTGATTCAAGAATTCAAGAAATGCAAGAACAACTTGATCTTGAAAAAGCTGGTAGAGCTAAAGCACAAAAACAAAAACAAGCATATGAAAAGAAATTACAAGAATTACAAGAAAATGATAATGATTTCGAAGAATATAAAGAAACTGCTGATAAAAGAATTAATACATTGTCTGCTCAAAAGGATGACCTTCAAAAAGAATTGGAAAAAGAAAGAGGACTTAAACAAGATTCAGAAAAAGAAGTTCAAAGACTTAGAGTTAAATGTCAAGAACTTGAAACCAAAGTTGCTGAAGTTGGAGGAGCTAATGTTTCTATTGCTAAAGTTAAAGCTAAATATGAAGCTGAAATTGAAGAATTAACAACAGAAGCTGAAGATGCTCTTAAGGCTAAGATGAAAGCTGAAAAGAAGGCTAAGACCAGCCAAAAGAAATTAGATGAACTTCAAAAGACTATTGCTGATTATGAAACTAAAGAAGCTACCTTCAATACTCAAATTGGAAAGACTCAAGCTGAACTTAAGAAATATCAACAACAAGTTAGAGATGATGAGACTAGAATGAGTAGTCTTGAAGATGAAATTAAGAAAGGAACTGATGCTCTTGCTAATAAACAATTAGAACTTGATAAGGTTAATAAACAATATGAGAAATTAAAGAAACAATATAAGAGACTTGCTGCTGCTAAGGACAGTGATGATGATTCTGATTAAATTTCATAAAACAACTTTTGAGTTATTATATTAATTCAAATTCTTTTTATTATTTAATTTTTAATCAATAACATGGATTTGTATATAAGAATGAGAATAGAAATATTTTTTTATAAAGTATAATATCAGTTAAAATAAAATTTAAATAGATGAAATAAAATGCTAATTTTTAATAAAATTATTAAACAAATGTATTGAAAGTTTTGTTTAATATTTTTGATAAGATAATACACAAAAACAATTTCCATTTATACATTGATTTTTTATATATTAAATATTGGAGTTACTAGACCAATTTGTTCTGAACAAATAAAATAAAAAATCTGTTTGAACGAGAATAATCAATCAGTTTATTTAAACCAAACCAAATATTAAAATAAATTATAATAAATTTTTATAATTTTTATATAACAAAAAAACCCTTTTTGAAAACAAACAATTCAAAGAAGAGAATAATGAGTTATCTACCTGAAGAACGATTATCAAAAAAAGAATTTTGGGAGGAATGTTATAATAGGGAATTAGAAAACTTTGAGAATAACAAAAATGACATTGGAGAAGTTTGGTTTGGGGAAGATATTGCAGAACAAGTTGTAGAGCGATTAGAAGAATTTGCAACAAAAGAAATGAAAATTTTAGATGTTGGATGTGGAAATGGATATACATTATCACTATTGGGTAAAGAAGGGTATCAACACTTATATGGAATGGATTATTCACCAGCATCAGTTAAATTTACAAAAAAAGTTTTAGAACAAGAAGGGATTGACTTAAGTACAGTAGTTATAGAGCAAATGGATATATTAGAACCGAATTGTCTCGAACATTCTCAGATTCAAGAAATGGATATTGTAATTGATAAAGGAACTTTCGATGCATTGATGGTTGCAGAGAATCAAAAAGAACGAGCCACTCAATATAAAAAAGTATTAAATCAATGGTTAAGTAAAGGAGGATATTTTATTATTACTTCATGTAATTGGACTGAGGATGAACTAATTAATTGGTTAGGTGAAGGATTAGAGGAAGAAGATAAAATTGCAGATGGAAACTTTGAATTTGGGGGGTCTCAAGGTTCTAAAACAACAACCATTTTCTTTAAAAAAATGATAAATTAATAAAAATGTAAAAGTCATTTGATTAATATTTAATTTTTTAAATTTTGTTATCAAAATTAAAAGCATAATCAAATATCATCCACCATTTATTTATTAAATCATTTTTTGGTAAAGTATTATACCACTCTGGTGTAATTGTTAATACATCATCACCAATAATAATGGTAATATTACTATCATTATAATTCTCTTTAATAGGTATTTTGTTTTGTATTTCTTGAAGAGATAAATAATTTACTTTTAATAATTTAATGTAATTAACAAAAAATGATCGTAACATTGTTTTTGTTGTATCTTCATCATTTAAAAATAAGTCAATAATAATATGCTCTTTATTTCTAAATACAACATGATTCTTTCCTTTAATTTTTTGATTAAAACCTAATAATTGAATAAATAATTGATGATTTTTTCCAAGTCTCATTGTTTCACAAATCTCTGTCATAATAAAGTCAATTACTTTTTATTATTTTATTTTTTAGTTCATATTCAAAAAGAACTATTTAAAAAGAACTAAAAAAAGAATGAAATTTTTAAATAATTAAAATTTCAAATTAGAAAGAAAAAAAAAATCCAATTTGTTGTTAATAAAGAAAGGATAATATACATTTTAATCTGAAGATTTAATAACTTCAATGATCCAAACTTCTAAAGGTTTAACTATATAATTAAGATGTTTTTTTCTTCCAACAGCAAATAGTTCAATTCCTTCAGGAGGAACGTCTTGATAATAGACACTAAAATCATAAGATAATTGAATAGCTTCTTTTGACATAAAATAAAAACGAGGAATACCAAAAATTGAAGCTTGTTGATTGTCAGGATAATAACGAACTGTTCTTGTATTTTTTTTAGTTCTAATAAATTTTTTTGGATGATGTAAAGAAACACCAATAAGAGAGAAAGCAAAATGTTCATTATCAACAAGATCTTTTACATTATCAAATTTATGATCAGGGACCTTTTCATTATAAGATCCAAATACATAATTATCAATAGTTTGAATTAACACAATAAATCCTTTTAATGAATGAATTGTTTGATTAAATTCATTTGAACTCATCATTACTTTATTCCATCCAACAACTTTTCTTAATAAAACAGGTTTATTAAAATAACTTTTTAAAATATTTTCGAATTGTTTATAAATTTCTTCAAGTGATTTTTGAGGAGCAATTGTAATTGGTGCAATTTCTGTTTTTCCAATACATTGTACTATAGCAAGTTCACTAATACTAATAACCCTTCCTATCCAAGTTACTCCATTATAATAACTTGAAATATATGGATAAATTACTCCTTGTGGGTTTGAAATAATAAAAGCACCAGGAACACAAAAAACTAACTTTGATCTTTTTTTCCAAGGAAAAATTCTAAATGAATTATCATTAAATTCTTTTCTTTTAAATTGCATTGGTGGATTTAATTGAAATATAAAATGATTAATATCATTAAATACATCAGTTTTATTTTCATTTAAATTAGAATTATTATAAGTCCCATAAATTGATCCATCAGTTGTTTTAAATATAATTAAATAATTCTTTTGTAATATTATTTGTTTTTGAAATCGAGGAATATCAATCATTGAATTGTTAGTATAAAACACAATGCGTTGAGTACTTAATGTTGTCCATTTACATATTATTTCAGCATTTGTGTTAATTATTTCTTTTAAGGTTTTTGTTCCAGGTCTCATCTCTTTTTTTATTTTTAATTTATTTCTAGTTTAGTTTTTTATTTATTATATTATAGTTTCAATTTAATAAAATAGAACAAAAACTTATTGTTGAGTCTTAGTTATATATTTATTTAACTCCACAGAATTTGTGTTTTATTCACATTACTTTCAATTACCCATTGATAGTCTAATTCTCTTTGTGTTTGGTTTATTGGAAGAAAATGACATTCTTTTTCCAATTCAGTCATTTCAGTATTGTATAAAGTCATATTAGTAAATAATCCAACTTCTTGACGAGTTTTATATCTATATTTTGGAATAAGACATTTTATTAATAACTCTTTATAATATGGACTAAACTTTTGAATAATTTCATCAACTTTTCTTTGAATTTCATCACACATCATTTTAATTCCTTCAATTACTGCATCATATGCACTTTTAGCAGTTTCTGCATTTGATAATTTACTTTCTGCTTTCATTAATGTAGTTTTAGCTGTTCGAGCTTCTATTTTTTGTCCATTTGTAAAACTTTGTTCTGTTTTTTTTCTCAATTGATTTAATGCATATCTTCCATCATAAAAAGAGATCATTGCAGTTTTATTTAAATCTTCTACTTCTTTAATTTTTGTATTAAATTCATATACTTTTCTTTCAAATAATTTAAATTGTCCTTTAGCATCTTCTGAACTTGTTTCATTTAATTGGTATGTTTGTGGTGAAAATGTAGCTTCATATGTTGCTGTTTCTGAATCTTTGTGAACTCCATTTCTTAATTTAATAATATCATATACTAATTCAGTACTAAATTGTTCAGCAACTTCTGGCTTTTGAATAAGTGTTTCATTTATTTCTTTGGTAATATTCATAAATGCTTCATGTTCTACGTTTGTTAATTTTTTATATGAACCATAAATATATTTTTGTTTAATTTCTATCACAGAATCATTAAATAATTTTTTAATTATCTCTTGTACTGGATATGACTTAGCAATATACGTTGCTGATTTTTGAATAATGTCAATCATTTCATCTTTTGTTGCTAGTGCATCACTATCAAACTCATACATTGTTTGTGCAATTCCAAAGTAAATAAAACTTAAAAATATAATAATCATATTTATTACTTCTCAAAAATATAATCTTTTTTTTAGTTTTTAGTTTTTTTTTTTACTTTTTTTAATAAAATAATAATAAAAGTATTATTAATTTTTCTTCAGACTAAGAGCATCACAAATTTCATTAAAGATTTCATCATTTTTACATAACTCATCTAATCTCAAGAATAATGTATCTGTATTAGACTTATCATAAATCTTACTAAATGCATAAAGGTTCGGAGAATAAAATTGTTCAACAAAATGATAATCAATATCACATCTATCTATTACAACTTCAAGTAAATGATAAGAAATACCATGAATGTATGTAAATAAATGAATTGGCATCCTATGGTCAACTTTTCTTTTTAGGCGATATTCTGGTGGTTGATGAACGTTTGGATATTGAGAACATAAAGAATACCATGTAACAACACAAAAGGCAAAATCAGAAAAATCAGAGGAATATATTTGAATATATTTCATTGTAATAAATGTCATAATTTTCCAAAACTCAACACAATTATCTTTCCACTTTTGTACTAACTGTATTGACTTAATTGGGAATTTTAATAAATCAAGCCAATGACATAGATCACCATCAACATTAATTCCAGTTTTAATTGAGTGACCAATACGAATATCGTTAGATTTATTATCAAAATATTCAATAACCTCACTATTAGGTTGTACTAAAGAATATAAAAGAGATCTTATTTTAGAACAAACAAATGCAGGTGAATCAAATTTATCCCAACATCTAAGAGATGGAAAAGAAGCAACAGAAATTGCAGACAATGTTATTGAAAATGAATAATAACAATTTGGAAATTTTTCTGGAGGTAATGGTGAAACTTCTTCTTTTCTAATAGTTTCAATTGAAGGAGGAGTGATACAACACATTCGATTAATTTGTTTTAGTGCAGCTTTTAATACATCAAAGTCATTTTTAGAAAGTCTTGATTGAAGGAAGTTAAGAAGAGTAGTTGGAGTAAATTCAGTTTTTCTAAAATAATTAACGACGTCATTAATAACATTTATATTTTCAACGACATTTAAACGTTTACGTAGTTTACGACTAAGAGACTTTGTAAAATCATTACCACATATACAACTAAAAAGTGGAATGAAATCTTTATTAAAATTAAAATAAGAAATAACATCAGAAGTACGAATTCCCTTAAAATAAATTTTCAAATTAGGATGATTTCTTTCATTTATAACTTTTAAAAATAATTTAATAAAATTAGAAGTATTAAATACAATATTTGCTTTTGATAAATAAAAGTCTGAGTCACTAGTTACAACTCCATACGCATTAACTTCTACTGCTTTTTCTATAATAACAGGATCTGCTTCTGCATATGCTCTAACACATTCAAATCCATATTTTAATAATAAATATTTAATACTTCTTTTAAGACCACTAAAGATAGTAATAGGTAATTCATTTACAGTTGATGGTTTTGAAAAAAATTTTCTATTTTCTTTTGATTGTTGTATTAATCGAGAAATAGACTCATGAAATTTAATTGGTTGTGTCATTCCATCAAATACAAATATTAATTGAATATGATTTAATAAACATAATGAATACATTTTTTTTAAAAATTGATCTAAACTAAACATATCTGAATTACACTCTTCTAATATTTGAAACATAAAACCACTTCCATCAATTATTAATTTCGTATTATTGGTTGTTTCTATTTTTTATTATTATTATTTTTTTGGCTTTTTTTTTTAAATGTTTTTTTTTACATAAACAAACCTCTATAATATTTCTCTGCAATTAAAAATAATGGAAACCCTTTTTCAAGATGTCGAAGAAATGTCTAAGTAATTAAATGTCTTTAATTAATATTTGAAATTATGATTTGAATTAATTTCATACAATCCCTAATAAAGAACAAACAGTTAAATGAGCTACACCCATATATTCTTTTCAATTAACACTTTGAAGTTTTAAAGTTAGAATATTAGTATATTAATATTTATTACTACATTAAATTATTTAATTTAATATTTCTGCTTTTATAAATAGATAGAAGCATCTTTTTTTTCTCTTTTGAGTGAAATTTAAAAAAAAAAAAGAGAAAACAATTCAATAAAAGTAAAAACGTCGGGAAAACAGTCAATTTAAAAAAAAATGTTTTAGAATTAAGAAAACAAAAATAAAAGAACAAAAAAAATTCAATCATTTCTATGTCAATTAAATCACAACATTCTTTCCGTTCATCTAAATTTAAATCACAAAATGGATCAACAAAAGATATTAGTAGTTTTGTATCTGAACAATCTTTTAAATCAACAAGAACAATCTCAATTAGAAGAAAACATCTTGATAATTCTTTTGTTATTTATTCAAGTGATGAAATAGATCCTGAAATACAAAATATTGCAGATTCTTGTATTAATGATTTATCACAAATTAAGTTAGTATTTCAAAAAATGAAAGACTCTAATATTTATTTTTCATTTGATACAGAAATTGCACAAAGAATAGGTATTAATGAAGATTGGGATGTTTCATTATGTAGGATGTATGTTAATAGATTATCCCGTAGTTATATAACATTACTTAAAACATTAGTTACTTCTATAAAAGATTGTTCTTCTGAATCAACTGAATTTTTATCTATTTGTCAATTTCTTCTTCCAATTGAATTACAATATTCATCACAATTATCAATTTCTTTATTAGAGACATTATGTCATAGATTTGATGATGTATTTAATAATCCACAGTTTGATCCAATTTATCAATTTGATGATATTAATGTACGTTCTACATTATTTGCAGCTTCTCCTAGAGCATTAATAACATTACTATTTTTTCCACAACAACCAGAACCGGATTTTCCTAATAGACTAGCAATTTATTTATCTATTGCATTAGAACCAAATGAATTATGTAAAAAATTAAGACAAGTATTTGATGGAGAAGATCTTAATAAGAGAAATATTCAATGTATTGGTGCATTATTAAAACATTTAATTCGTATAAATCCAAAATTACCATTAAAAGAAAATATAGGAGATATTATTGAAATTCCTGTAATAAAATCAGAAGTAAAAGTAAAAAGATTTTATAATAAAAAAAGTATAGGAAGTTCTATTGTTACTAATTCATCAATTTTAAAAAATAAAAAGAAAATTGGAGAATTAACAGATGTTAAATCAAAAATATTAGCAGAACAATTAATGGTATTTGATTCATTATTATTAAATGATATTGAAACATCTGAATGTGTACAAATGAAAGAAAAACCAACAATTGATTTTTATTGTGAAATAATTGATAATCTTGGAATGTGGGTATCATATTCAATTAAAACAGATACAAATGAAATTAATAGAATGAGATATTTTATTAAAGTTGCATTAGAATGTTTAAAACATAATTCATTTAATGTAAGTTATGCATTATACACAGGAATATCTCATTTTTCATTAAATAATATATTTAAAAAATTACCACATAAAAGTATTAAACAATTTGAAGAATTACAAAGAGTATTTGATATTTCTAAAAATTATATTATTTATAGAAATACATACTCTATTGCTCCTACTCCAAAAATACCTATTTTACCATTATGGCTTGGTGATATTATTCATGCACATACTGCTTTTTCATCAAATAGAAGTGAAAATGGTTTATTTAGAATGGATGCTTTAAGAACAATTGCTAATGTATTATTATTAGTAAATCATTCACAAAGAGTTGGATTTTTTGGAGAAGACTTAATTATTGATGAAATATTTGCTAAACTTTCAATGAAATATCAAATTTAATTTATATTTGTATTCAATTATGATTTAGTTTTGTGTTAATGGTATTGTTTTTACTTTCTTTGCCAACTCAGCAATGGAAGGTCGTTCTACTCTATCTGAATTCCATAAATCACAAACTAATTGAGCAAATTCATGATTCATTCCATTTGGAATTTCATTCATATCAAAAATACGATCATTTGTTGATTGCATTTGAGAAAGTTCATGCGGAGTAACTTTAAATGTATCAGTTATTTGTTCACCATAATACATCATAACAAAAACATGTGCTAATGAGAAAATATCCATTGGATAATCAGCTTTCATGCTTGAATTAAATGCTATTGGATCTGTAAAATAGTTATATTTTCCTTTTTGATCAAATTTAACTGCTCCTTGTGCATCTGCTTTAATAATTTGTGAACAACCACATAATTTAATATGAGGTCCTTGTGATAATTTAGTTGATGCAACAAGAATAGAAGATGGATTTAATTGTCGATAAATAAAATGGAAAGAATGTAACATAGAAATAGCTGTTACAATTTCAGTTAACATTTTTCTTTTTAATTTAGGAGAAATAACTTGTTGATCAAGAAAATGATCAATTGTTCCTAATGGATAATATTCTAATACAATACATGATAATTTATGTGAAATAGCTTTACCATAATATTTAGAAGCAAGTTGTTGTTCATTTAAAATTTGAAGAAATTTAATTTCTGAACGTAATTGAAGGTCTGGGTTTTCTGCTTTTGTAAATGTTTTAATAAAGATTTGTTTTTGTTTCCACATTAATGAATAACATTGTCCAATATTTATTTCTGATGGTGTTGCATTTTCTAAATCAAATTCATCTCCATCAATATATTCACTCTCTTGTGCTTCAGCACGAACATCAATATTTGATGTATACATCTTTTCTTGATGTCTAATAGTGACAAGTAATTCTGCATTTACACGACATGAACATTTTAATTTAATTTGTGCAATAATATTAACTTGTGTTCCTGGTGCAATAGTACCTTCTATTGGATCTAAAAGAATTTCATATTTTGGATTTTTAATTTCTTTTACTGAAAAATTCCATGGAGAATTTCTCATATTAACAATACTAAATTCATCAGTATATGGAACTCTTACTTTTAATTTTTCAAATGACCCTCCAAATAATAATGTATTCTTTGATAATTCCAATGGAAATGATGGTGTAGATGAAAAATATCTTCTTTCTGGAATCTTTGTATATACATCCCCTCGTTGTCTGAAGATAGCACGTCTTCTTCTCTTTGTAGAACGATCAGTATTATCAGATGACGTATCTGTAGAAGTATTTGTATCTGTATCTGTCATTGATGATGTAGTAGAATGATCTGACTTAGTTAACAAATCAATAGATGGTGGAGTACCTGTATTTCCTGACTTCTTTCCTTTTTCATCAGAAGATGATGAAGATGTATGGGTTGATATATTGGATGTATTAGATGTGGCGTCTTCTCTTAACAACCTATATTTCTTTGCATATGTTAAATATGCTGCATAAAGTAATATAGAAAGAATACAAAAAGCAAATAACACAGCTGTGATAATATCCATCGTCAATTCAGATGTATATGTGTCTTTAATACACTTTGAATTAGAATATTCATAATTATTAGAACGATCACAAGTACATTCTTCAGTACATCCTTCTCCTCCATCACATTCTTCTCCTTCATCTATTACAAAGTTTCCACAAAGTGCAGTACAGTAAGGATAGTTGATATAACCTTTTGCACATGAAGAACATCCATCCTCTGAATTAAATCCACCAAAACATTCTGACATACAACTACCATCAGGTCTACATGTTGGGCAACCAACGCCACATACATCAAGGTGATCTTTATCACCAAGGACACCAAAAATGAAACAAAAAATTAAAGTAAAGAATAACATCTTTTCTTATTTGACAATTTCAAGTTATTTTTTTTTCTTCATTATTTAATAACATTTTATTATTTTTTGTTATAAAAAACCCTACAAAAAAAGAAAAAAAAAAGAAGAAAGGAAAAAAGAAGAAAGACAAGATGAGTGAAACATATAGATATCTTGAAG